AAAAAATTATTATTCTTTAAACGGTTTTTCTCCACATATATTTTTTTTTAATTGTATTTAAAAAATGAAGGACAAATGTAACCAAGTCTTCCTATATTTACATATGTATGTATGTAAATATGTACATACGAAATCAAATCGAAGTTGTATATGTGAATAAAATAACTAAAAATTTTATAATCAGAATAAAAGTATTTAAAGGACCAAGACAAAAACGAGTAGTTTGTAGGCGTCCGAGTTTAATGCATACTGGGTTCATAGCATAAAAAAACGTAGATAAAAGTCTTATTAAAAATAGCACCCTCTGTGCCCTAGGCTTCACTTTAAAAAGAGTAGTCATGCTTACACTTTGCATTGTAAAATAAATCCATCGACGCAGGGCTAATTATTTCAAATTTTCCTAAATTTCTGGACATTATTCTGTGTAAGAAACTAAAATACTTTTATCTTATAAAAAGATCAAAAAGAGTAGAAAAAAAATTTGACAGAGTTGATAACCTCCTCTTCGATCTACAATTCAAAAACGTAACCTCTAAATTCCATATAGCCAAAGTTGTTTAGTTCGAAGACCCAAAGCAATTAAGTTTGCAAGATTAACCCTTCGTTAAACCTATTCGCCGAACAGATGGTGAATACATACATACATATGTACGGACGTCCCAGGTGTGTTGTGAGAAAAGCTCTCAGACTAGCAAAGTGCCAGACAGCTAGGCAAACAGACCAACCATACGGATAAACGACAAACTAACGGTTATATGAAATGAAAAAAACAAAATAGCACGCAGACAATTACTTGAAGTGTTTGAGAGACAAAAGGACAACTGTTATAAGGCCAATTAATAGTATTTGTATTACAGGGCAGGCGAATGCGGGAGAACGAATGGGGTCAGAGGTGGCAATAAAATTTGTATTGAGCTGTTATAGTGCAGCCATACAGTGTACACACACACATACCTACATATATATGTACATGTTGGTATTGCCTTTCTGCTGCATATCCTATCGGAAAACTGAAAGGTTTCGTATATTTTATATAAGTATCGGTTATTGGGAGTTAGCAGAGAAGATCCTAATCGACTAGTCACGAGTTTAATTCAATGCCAGTTTATTTAAATTTGAACTCTAGTAAAAATCCTAAAGTTCACAAGTTGCCCCCCATCGCGGATAATGTGCGAACAAATCTGTATATCTGCTTATTCGAACCATAAGCGAGTGGAAGTCCATTTACCTGCTGTGTGGTATCAACGGCGGCATGTCAGCTACAAAACAGCGTAGATCGCAAGCACAATGAACGCATTTGCATATGTATGTATGTATGTATGTGTGTATGAACATACATATTTATGTTCGTATAAACAATACTATGTGCTAAAATATTTATATGGTATTGGAACGGATGGAATGAGGTGTTTGTATACCCGACTGCCCTGCAGGAAAAATTCGCTTCACATGTCTATATCACCCTCAGGTGGTCAGGGCTGGATGGCAGAAGACACTTGAGCATATCAAGGTGTTAGGAGAATTTAAAACACAGATCTAAGGCCTACAATCCGCTACTTTAATAATCTCCTAAAATTTTCTCGATTGTCATTCTCTAGTTTTGACTATATTGCAATGATATATGTAAAACGAGCAAATCACCTCTCTCAAATTACCTCTTTGAGATATTTACTTATCGCATCTCGCAACTCGAATCGCACCACAAAACCGCTCACCTACGAATTTCCCGCTGGGTTGCATGGGGCTTTTAGCAACGCGCCAGGTGTGTGGGCCAGCGATGTCTCGGGCGGCGATGCCATTGGACTACTCTCGGGCGGCAGTTGAGCGCGAGCATGCGATTCGAGTGGACATTGGCATTGCAGCAGCACTAATCGACCGGAAGGAAGGCAATGCCGGCAAATATCAACACCCACCCACCTCACGTCAGTTCGTAGCCTAGTACATATAAGCAACTTAGCGCGCAAGCCAGCGTAATCCTTTCGTTAAGAGGAATATCGAGCGAATGTTGCGTGCGATTAAGTAAAGCGCGTCGTTGAAGCGTTGAAAGTGAGCCGCCTTGAATAGCGTCATAATCACTTCGATTGCAGATTATCCATCTGATCTATTCCGCACACATCTTTGTCTACATACACATACATATGTAGTTCATTTGGCATTAATTTGGCTGCTCACGGTCGTCGACCAGCAGACTGTGCGGGCGTTTATTTGCGAATTCTATGAACGTGAAACAGGCCCGCCCGCCCACAGGCTGAGGCGAACATTTTCTGGAGAATTTCGAATCATTCGTGTTTTCGGAGTTGAATTGTGCGGCCGCAATTTTCTTCATCCATTTCCACATAAATGTTTAACGCATCTTTGAACGTACATACATACATACATATATACTCCGTCGCATTGTGTGTGTGATCGCACCACGCGTGTTGATACAATTTAACAAACGCAAATCGCAAAAATAAACATTTTGAATAAATAAATACGAACACAATTACTTAAAAATGTCTTCGGGTGAAACACAAAACAATGGCAAAAAAAGAAACAAAGGCAGAGGCAGAGGCAGTGAGGGAATGTACGCGCCAACATTAGTGAGAGCAATTAAATCTGTTCGATTTGATTTGGCAACAAATCGTTGGCCGCTAATGGCTGCCTTCATCGTCGTCATCATCGCCAGCTGTTTTTGTTGTTGCGGCGTAATGGCTGCATCTGGCGCGCCGGCGGCGGAGGTGAGATATCAGTGCGCCTTCATCGACACCATCAATGTGACCGGCACTCCCTGGGCGTATGAGCAACCGCCAATCTACGACACTGCCGCAGTAACCAATGGCCAAAGCAACAACAACGTGACAAATAGTGTAAACATCAACACTACCATCGCGGACGGCAATCGTCAGGAGCATATCGACAACAACAACAACAACAACAGCAACACCGCATTTATACGCAGTCTCGGCATCAAAGCCATTCCGCGCGAACTGATTGCTGCCTATGATTTTATCATCCAAGATGGGGTGCGTGTGCAGGTGGAGCGTCATCTGCGCGCCTGCATTTGCAAACTGAAGCCCTGCATACGCTTCTGCTGCCAGGAGGGCTACTACTATGACACGGCTAGCAAGTCATGCCTGTCCATTGCGCGCCTCATCGATGCCGCCGACGACGTCTTCAATGACAGCCAATACAGCGTAGCGTTCGAGTTGACCGGCCTGGATCACAACGAGGTGGCGGTGCTGGGGGCGAACGGCAGGTCGCGTTTGGTTAAGACAGCGCAGCATTTTATTGTGTATATCAGCGTGCCGTGTCAGCGGATGCGCTTCGTGCCAAGGAATGGCGAGTTGGTGTCTTGGACGCTGTTCGAGGTAAATGTTCAGTGATACAGCGGCCAGGCGAATGTACGCGCGCGGACTGTTTAAATATCGTTTATCGCGCGTGTTGGCTTAAGTACATTTGTTAATTTGTGCTATCGGTTTGTGCTTTTGTTTTCACAGAATGGCACCATTGCGCACGGGAATTACATAGTCTCGAACTACTACTGCTACACGCCACACCAGCGGGACAACTCCACTTGGAATTGGCAGCCACTGACATGTGTACCCAAAAAATTGGCTTTCGTCTTAGGCACTAAAGAATGGACCTACGCAATTTGTGAGTATTCGGTTGGCGTAGAATTGATTTTGAGAATCCTTGAAAGGGAGCAAAAAACTTAGTGATTTAAGGAAGTTTGAAATGATGATTGAGTGCGTATGAATAAAAAAATCGGTTATTTCGTTTCACCTTACCTTAGTCCGGTTAGGAGCCGCACTATTCTGCCGAAATGGTAACTGCTAAAAACTCTACTCCATCGCTACTCAACATCTGTTCCTTTCGGACATGTCAGGACAAGGGCATTTTACTAAAAAAACTTTGAGACCCAACTAAGGAGGTTTATTTAATACCTTTACATTTCGAATTCCAAGAAGAGTTAGTGAACAATAAATCTCAGAAGAATGACTCGACTCTTCAGTTTACTGCATGTCACTAAAGAACTTCGGCTTTGAACAAGCACCTTAACAGTTACAACTTTTATTAAAAAAATCGGTCTTTAACAAATATTTTTTTACTTTAATTACTTCCTAAATAACCGTTATTTCTGACTTTTATTTTATAAACCCAAAATAACAATTATTTTCGATTTTTAAATTATGTGTCCCAGGTAACAGTTACCGAAGACTTTTATTTATAAAAGTCATAAATAAAAATCGTTCACTGACCTTTATTTTTTAAATCATATTTGTAAAAGTCATTTGTATAAGTCGCAGTAAACTTTTGTTTCCCAACACTTTCTTAACTGCGAAAAATAAATGTTAATGACTTTTGTACGAATAATTAAAAAAATAAAAGTCGCTGACTGATTTATATTGATGACTTTTAAAAGTGAAGGTCACTGACTGATTTTAATTAATGACTTTTATAAAGAAAAGTCTTCAATAACTGTTCTCTCAGACATATAAAAATAATTGTTATCTTGGATGTATGTTTTGCATAAAAATTGCAAATAAAAATTTATTTTCAAATTTGAGTCTCGGTGAGAAAAGAATTCGATTAGTATGTATCACTTAGTTGTACAACATTTCCTTCATAGTGAATTTTTCCAAGACAGTTTTCATCAACAATAACCGTTATGTTCGGTCCCTGGCTGTGAGCTTTCAGCCAGCCCTTCGCGTAAGAAATATGGTTATTTACCTTTTAGGAAGAGTCTAACTACATTGAAGACAATGCGGATCATATGTAAACGGATTTGTGGAGATTGATAGGACAGAGAGAAAGAGAAAATCATTATGATTAAAGAGAGGAAGAATGCGAGCCGAGAGGAGTACAAGAAAGAGAGCGTAAGATTAAGGATGAGAGCTCGTAGTCTGAAAAGAAACCCCCTCCAAATCTCTAACCAGTATCGCATGGGAAAGCAATAACTCGTTTTTTTTATTTTTATTAAATTTAGTACTTATTGCTATTTATTTTCTCTACAGGCTTAATTCTTTCCGTCATCTGTATGAGCATCATCCTTTTTGTCTATCTCTTTTGCACCGATATACGCAATACCTTCTATGGCGTCGCCATCAAAGTCTACGCGCTGTGCGTCATCATCGGCTATTCGCTTTTGGCTCACCTCACACTCACAGATCCAGCCACGTTTTCCAAGCTGGCCTGCATTAATCTACGTAAGTTTGTGATTGGGTTTATTTTGTTTTTCACTCACGCTCGCTCGCTCGCTTGCTTTCTTTGTCGTTGCAGGAGCCTGCGTTATCCTCTACTTGGTCCTATCCTTCTACGTGCTGAGCTTTATGAGCTTCAATTTCTACATGCATTTCCATGGCATCATTCTGTCGCGTCTAATGTTTTGGCTTATATTCTTCCCCATAACCTTGGTGGCCGTAGGTTGGTCGATCTTTGCGGCCAACAATCTATATGACATTAGCAGCGACACCTGCTGGTTCGATCGTGAGTTCGAAGAGTCGATTTGAAAGCTTTCCAATTTGACGCAATTATTGATTCTTTTCACAGCGCGCAACTGGTCCATTATGATTTACTATTATGCGCCAATTTTCATCGCCTGTGTGTTGACCTTATTTTTCTATATTCTCACATTGATTCATATCAGTGAGCGTCGCGATTTCAATATACGCAAAGCCACAGAGTCACTGGAGGAAAATCGGTATGCCAGTTACTGAATTAAAAAACTCGTTTATTTTTATTGAATTTCTTGCCTTTTCCATCTCGCTTTAGCTTCAAATCATTCTGGAAGTTCTTCAGCTACACCTTCCTGGTCTTTCTGGTCTGTGTAACTTCGTTCGCCATCAACTACTACCGCGAGGAATGGACTCACATTAACTATGCGGTCTGTCTGTTCATCGCATTTCACGGCTTCGGCGGTTTGTACGCCTTGATTGGCAAAAATCAGCAGGTACAGAATTTTCTGCGACGCATCGAGGAGGATGTGTAAGTGGCTTTCAATAAAATATACATATTTATTGATGAGTTAATATACATATATGCATATATTTTCAGAAGTAGCGATGACGACGATATGACGGAGAGTGCGGTGCCCATGTCGGGATTCTAATAACTTTCCCTCTGCTGCTGGAGCATATTATTTGTTATGAAAGTTATATAAGCTATTATCATATTAAGTGCATATAAATATATTTGATAGAGTTAAGTTTAAAAAGGTATAAAAAAAACCAGTTATTGTAGTGTACATTTAAAAATTAGTATACACACCTTTTGTGTGTCCCGCGAACTTCCGCGCCTATTACCTTCCATTAAACCTCAAAGCGGGGGGTCTACTTTGTATTGCGATTCGAATAGTAAATCAATCAGACTCGAATACTTGGCGCTATGAAATTCTATCGGTCCGTGACCAGGGTTCCAGAGGCGGTGTGGTCCGATCTTTTCCACGGTTTGGTATATGGTGAAATTACCGGTACTAAAGCCATACTTTTAAGGCTCAGGCTTCGTGGACAGCGGGCTTTAGCTTTTCACTCTATTCGCATGGGTATACCTGGGAACTAGTAGTAACTCGGTTTTGTTGCATTTTCTATTTTCGAATTCTTGAAAAAAAACTTTTAGGGATTTCTATCCGGGCACAAAATATGGAAAAAACCTCAATTTTCTCCACTTTACAAAAAAAAAAACAAAAAATATACTTGAATATTTTGCTCAGCTGGCAGACCGTCAGATACAACGGCTTTGTTGTTTTTCAGCCGTGAAATTCATATTCGTACCTTCCGTAAGTCGCCTAACGTTCTGATAAATTTTGCGGGAGTTGTGCTCTCCACACTCACGGATTTTCGTATCTCCATCTTTTTATTACGGAATATACTTTTCGCTTCCCTCCTTATATCGATCCCAGATAGCTCGCACTACGCCCGATCGCAGAGTGGACATGTAGGCGGCATTTATTTTCCCGGCAGCGGCCTGACATCGCTGGCGCATCGCACGACGACATTTCGTTGTGTTTGAAACTCAGCCTTTATACAATTTACTAACATACGCTTACTTTTCTTTGGCATAGTCGAGTTACGAACCATTCTTACTTCCGCCGGCAGATGGCACCGAAGCGCCGAAGAGAACTGTTCCCAGTGGATAATTTGTTTTAAAAATACATTTAATAATAATAAGTAAATGTTGTGAGTGCTTTGTCCAGCGCATGCACATACTATATGCATGTATGAACATTAGGGCGGGTCAATTTATATGGGAGACTTTCGACTATGACCCCACAATTGCGTGAAAAACGCAGGGTTTCGACGTGGTTTTGCCTGCACAGCGTTGCAAATTCACAGGATGCACTTGATGATTAATTTTTTTCGTCATTCCGTTATTCAAAAAAAGTTGTTTGATGATGCATTTTCGAACATTTTTGCAATCTGCAGGTTTTAAACTTTTAATTTTTCAAATTAATTGGTATTTTGAGTATGCAGTTTTTTAGTATAATTTAGTGAACGCTTCTAGAAGCTACACTGCCTATTTAGGAGAAAAATTGCATGGGGGTTTTTTGGTATGAAGAATCCACATCCGCACTTATCATTTTCTTTGAAACCTATTTACGTAATTTGGCAAACTCCAAATTGATTTTAGACACATGGTTTCTTCGGCAAATCTGCTAAGAATTGCATGTAAGAATGAATCTCCTGTGCTGTACGCGCATAGTAAAACAAATTGACCCGCCCTAATGTACCCACCCCAACCACTACACCACAGCGGCCGCAAAAAAATTAAGACATAGAGTTCTAATATTCAAAGCATCTTAAGAGTTAAATAAAAAAAATGAATATAAAAAAATAATAGAATAAAAAAAAGTTTAGCCCTCAAAAGCGACTCATCTTCGAACGAATTTAACTACAATCAACTGCTATGCCAGCCAAGCAGTCAGCATCAACGGCAGGTATAATTTGAAATCAACGGATCATCAATGGCCACAGCAGTAATGCCTTAACACCTACAGGGCCGATAACTTTGTATATCGAAGGCAGCGCCACTGTGAGAATCATTGCAGTCGCCTTTGATGTGTGCGTACAGACTCAAACCTAATTGCAAGCGTAAACCACTACGACTACCATAAACATTAATATACATTTATATGTACGCATGTATGAGTGGTGAGTCTATTTGACAGATACATCAGAGGTCATTGCTCCCATTTGCCCACTGGCTTCTGTTTTCTGCCATTCGATTGGTCACATTGCCGCTCACCTCACATTACTCACTCAATGCTGTTTGGAGCTGAAGCTCACCCGCTGCTCTTGACACTTGCTTTCTCCAGGAAGTATTTGTTGGTGCGTTTGTGTTGCGCGTTTGTACATTCTAAGCGAATACATGCAAGTATATAGATATATGTACGTACATGTCTATATGTACCAGGGTTGTTGCGAATATTCGCATTAGTACTAAAAAAAAAAACATTATTAAAAATTACCAACCTTTCCATTTTTTATTTAACTAAATCACCTAAATTTTTTCTAAAAAATACTTGGCATCCGCATTCGCATTCGCATCCGCCGATGTTAGCTTTTAAATATCCGCATCCGAATTCGCATTCGCGGTTATCTAAAATTTCACATTCGCAACATCCCTAATATGTACATATACATACATATGTATATAGTATGTAGATGGCTCTTAAGTGGTGGAATCTCAGGAATTTCAACGTACTCATCTAACATCATCCGAGAGCGTGCATTTTGAACCTACCACAAGCACAACCATTTCCACCGGAGCCACACATACACACATATGTACATATGTACATGTGTATATGCATAGTTCATACTTATGTATGTATGTATGTATGTAAGTTCACCTGATTCACCTGACCACTGCCTTTGTTATGGACCGGGCGTTCAGTATTGCGATGGTCGCCTTTGGCCAACTTCACTGTGGCGGGAAAGAAAAATGGTTAGAGGCCAGAATGCCATCTTACACATTCAAATAAGTATTGGACAATAAATAAATATAGCGTAAGCTTCCGTTGTTGAGAAGCAAGACTACCTGCATTGTTGTTCGATTCGTTTGCTCTTTATTGACCACTCTCGACTACTAGGCAACTAGCTTAACGTATCCCTAGGGACGGACGTGGATTCTCTTGCCTCTTTTCTGATTATATTTACAAAAATAGGAGTTGGTAATTCTTTCTTTGATGCAAAGGGAAGTTCGCCTACTTCATTTGTTTCATCTTCGACGCTTTCGATGGTCTAATCTTTTGCTATCAAAGCAGGCTGTAAGTGTTTTGGTTCATTTCGCTGCCCTTACTATGGGCATACTATGCGATGTCTCATTACAAAATGGTTGACCTTGCCCACAAAATGTCTTCAGTACCTTTGCGAAGTCCTTCGTATCTTACCTGATCAGTAAAATGTCAAGACGACGGATCGGCAGCTGCTGTATGTCTTCGTTGTGTGCCGTCTCTGTCATTCAGCGGCGCCGTACTCGGCTATATGAAGGCAGTGCGGAAAAGTCTTGGTGACAGTAGTTAGAATAAACTTGGCTAGAATTGGCGCGATATCGACTAATCAGTTTAGTGGAAAACAGAAAACAAAAATGAACCAAATTTCCATTACATTTTATGATTGGGCCCATATATTTTGCGCGTTGTAGACGTTTTAGTCATCTAATCTTCGCCATATTTAATATTAAGGGGTTTCTAACAGAAGAGAGTGTACAAACTAAATTTCATCGAAATCGGGTGAAATTTAATGTTTCCGCCCACAAGAGTGGAGGGCGTGGCAATTAGACTATCTTTACCATATTTCATAATACCTTATTCCTAAGAAAAATTAGAGCTCATGTCATGTTTCAGCAAAATCGCAGCACGTTGACTATTTTCACCTGTCTCCATACAGTCGAAACACCCCAGTCGGAAAAGTAGCAATGCATTACATGCGTGATAAAGAATATAATGTATTAATTATGAGTTCTCGATTATATTATTGCTAACTATGTAATCAGCATTCTAATTCCAAAATCAGCATTCTAATTCCAAAATTTCCAAAAATTTCATATTAAAACACATTCATTTTTCTCTCCCCACTTTTCTTAGGACATCGCCCTGGGGGGAAAAAATTCCGTTTCGAATGTGAAAAGGGTTGCTTTACTGATAATTTTTTCGATTACTATACATTACATTTTCCCACTGGGACTGTGCGCCTAAGCTCCAGTCGCATGTTTTGCTTTCAATTGCTTTTATTTAGCTTTTTTTGAGTTCTAACCGCGGAAGGCTGAGTTGCGAATCGGTCGGGTATAAAATTTCACTTTGGTCCAAGCAACGCATATGTATGTATGTATGTATGTAGGTCTATGAAGTTCCATTGCAGGACCACGCTAACCTGCGCCTCCTATTTGCACTTTCTTAGTTGGCAGTACTTTTCAATGCCTGCCACAAGTACAGTTAATGCGAATATTCACAACGCAGCGACGGCGCCATTTTGCTTAGTGATTCAAGCTGCTGGGTATGCAGCAGATAACAGTAAGCGCTAGCCATTTACAAAAATATACACAAATATAAGCATTGCAACAAAAAAAAAAAATAGGGAAAACATTTCCCATAAGTATGTATGTATGTACGAGTAGTTGCAATAAAAATTACAAACTTACAGAAAATCACATCTATTGCGGCAGTCCCTATGAAGCGCTTAAATATGTATTTATTTATGTATAAATGTACAATATATATATACTACGTATGTATACAAATTAAAACTCATTCATCATACACGAGTTTGTATATGTATGAGCATATTTTAAATTCACATACATACATACATATCTATGTATATATCCTTTACATGCCTGGTTTATATAACAAGTGGCTGTGTGCCAATCTACGTACCATACATACATATACAGTATCGGTCATATCTATAGCACGCCATTTCAAAATGATATTAAAGTAATTTTTAAGAATTTTCCATTAAAATATAGTGCAACAAATTTCCACCTAAATTTCAAACTATTTTCTCGGAAGTGTTAGAATTTTTTTGAGTGCACAGTTTTTTAGCCCCTTCAATTTTAGTCTGATAATATGCAAATTTCAAGTGGCTACGAATCACCGTTCATTTTTTAGATTTTTTTTTGTCGCATTGGCTTCCATATAATGAATAAACTCAATTTATTTGTATATGGAAGAAATCCGCAACACCTTTGGCGAAAAAAATTCTAAAAAATCAACGGCTGCTTTTAGCTACCTCAAACTTGCATATTATCAGACTAAAATTGAAGGAGCTAAAAAACTGTGTACTCAAAAAAATTCTAACACTTTTTTGTAGTT